TATGGAATTAGAAGTTGTGCAGTGGCATATCCTGAGCTCTGTACACAGGTAAAGAATTAAGCACAACACTATGATGAACATTTTAGGTTTGGGTTTTTTGTTTTGTGTTTTGTATTGTCTCCTGTTATAGGACACCTTATTAGTGGTACACACTTTGTAAAAGAACACAGGTTGCGGTGGATACTGTGCGACTTAAGTCGGCTCCTGAGTCACCTTGAGTTGGTGCCCGGCAACAGGTAGTGAGGTCAGTGAGAAGAATGAAGCCAGAGGTGTGTGCACACAGATCCACCCGGTGCAGTCAGGACCCTGGGGAGTGGGGAAAGCTGGCAAACAGCAGGTTAACTCCAGCCTGCAATGATTTCTTGCCCCTGGGAAAAAAATAATTGCTTCATCTTGATGCCAAGAGGCAAATTGGCATCAGCTTAATTTGCCTGAGCCTGCCATAAACTGCAGATGGAGCTATAAAACATAGTTAGAATCAAATTAAACACATCTGTCCTTATCTAAAGGCAGGTGAGGCTAGCCGGCCAGGAGGCATCAAGGTGCAATGCCGCACACAGATTCTGCCATGCAGAGGTGCGGATTCGGAGCCTGCTATCGGTGGCAGAAAGAGCAGTGAAGTCTCATGGTGTCCTACCTTGCTTTTATTGAGCCTGCCTTCCTGCATTGATGGTTGTCACTGTCATTTATAAAAGACTTCAACAGACATATCCCTTAGGAAAGAGACAGAAGTCGTTGACTCCGATGTCCAGGAGTTTCGTGTATTTTAATCAGGATTCCTTATCTTAGCCTTGGATTAACTGAAGTTATAGTCAGACGTTGCTGTAGTATATTTTAATTGGACTTGAACTTTCCTGCAGGAATTTTATTTTTCCATATAAACTATCTGTGTGCTTCTGCAGCTGTCATGGAGATACCATGTGGGTGAGCACAGAAATAATAGATGTAAGATAAAAAGGTTTTGGGGGAAAGGAACCAGATGCCTTATCCAAACTAGGACAGTTTTGAGAATGGAAAGGAGCTGGAATAACCACAGGGATGTCTCTGTTCCCGTCTTGCTTTGTGAAACAAGGAGCCTTCCACTGCAAGTCATGCCGTTAGCCCGTCACCTCCTGCGGAACATGCAGAATATCCCTCTGGCTTCAGGGTCTCACTTAGCTGAGACTGTCTGCAGCCAGTGGCTGCAAGCAGCGAGGGTACTAATGCTGGCCCTCCCAGTCCCAGGGAGATTCTCCCAAAGTGTGATCATCGTCCCTGCTTGGCTGCTTAAACCTTTGTTCTCGTGTCCATGATGGGTTGAAGCTCCCTCGTATTGAAATCTGCCTCCACTCTTAGACATCAGACCTAATTCACAGGAAGAAGATGTTTCCTGTTCCTTTTTGTTTATCAGGTTGTCACTCACAGTCAGTTCTTCTCCATGCCCTTGTTACATCTTCACTTTGTTTTTGCATCTGCTTGCTGGGAAACTCAACTGCCAGGGATGCTATTAATAATCAGGTGAATGAAGCAGATTTTAAACTTCTACTAGCCCTGGCTAAGCCAATGGTGATTCGTTTTCATCGTCTGTACCCCTCTTTATGCAAGGCCAAACTTTGCTTCCTGCTGATGTTGTACCACCTGTCACAATCTATGTGGGATGTTTTTCCATCTCAGGCAGATCCTCACTTCACTAGACCCCCAGTTGAATAACTAAACCTTTATCTGGAACAAAGAAGGCTCAGCATTGATTTCCTCCTTGTCCCCCATTGGGGAACCTTGCCTGTTTATTTGTGGAGTGTTGCAAAAGGACTCCTGTTCCTTTGTCGTGTTGACCTCTGTCACTGAACATCTGAACTGCACTCATGCTAAAGAAAAATCCTCCAGTGCTGCCTCTTTGCAGTCAGTAGCTTCATGGAACATTCTCATTTTGGATGTCCTACTGACTGTTCTAGCCAAGTAATTCCTTTCACACTGAACCGACTATAATTTTTCACAAATATGGCTGACCAGTCATTCAGGCAAGTGTTGCAACCACCTGATTACAGAGTCATCCAGGTCCTGCCTTTCACATTTGGGCCAAATTCATTGCCTTTTTGTCTTCCTTTCAGAGAGATGCAGTATAAATATCACTGAAGATTTCAGCTGCTCTGTTCTTACTACAGTTAACAATAGAAGGTCACTTCAAGAGTTTGTAGAAAACTTCCCATTATGAAAAAGCTTTGCATGGATTTCAAGATGTCTTTGCAACAAGATAAAAACCTTCTAATTCTGTTTTCCCAGAAAACTTTAAAATATCTGTGTATATGGAATTCTTGAAGAATGTCAAAAGAGTATGTGTGTTCTCATCCCCAAATCAATAACTATACAAGGCAGTGCGCATGACAACAAGCCAGATTTAGCCATTACACAGTGTATATACTGCAAAACACTACATTGTGCATAATAGCGTATATATACAACTGAAAGGACCTAGACATTGCGCTAGTCATGTGTTTGGAATCAGTAGACATAATAAAAAAAAAAAAGGGAAAAGTTCAAGAACAAAAGAGAGAAAAACAGATAAGCTACCAAGCACCCGGTTCTCCTGGAGGTGATGAAGGACACACAGGTAGCCCTGTTGGCTTTGGAGTGTAGATATGTCATGTCATTGACAACACACATAAACGGGAGCCAACAAGATTTCATCCTACCTTTTAGAAAGGGCAGCACAAAGTGCTATAACTTTTCTTGAGGCAACAGAAGCTTTACGTAGTGATAGGACAGACAAAGGGTCCAGAAATGTGGCCCTAAAAATCAGGACTGCACTCCTACAACAATGTCCAGGCTTTGCTCATGAGACGATATCAGATGACAGGTGTTTGGGAAAATAGGTAAAATCTTCCCAGGTCTGCTCCTGCTTTGGCCCACTCCTGCGAAAGATGCTTCTGCTGGTGTGAATGTGTTGGCACAAGCATCTGCAGGTTTTCTGTTGATCCTGCCGCAGCAATTAAGCCCAGTCTGCTGACTGCAGAACTCCTGGTGGTGTTCGAAGTACATGGAATAGAGGCCAGCCTTTCATCCCCAAGCCTGTGGAGGCAAATACACGTCTCGGTGTGATTGATGGTGATAGCACATGGGTGATGTGGTTGGTCTCACTGTGCCACGCTGTGCTGTGTTGCCCACACCAGCAAAGGCAGAGAGGTGTGATCTTATTGAAGCTATGGATTGGCTGTCCCTGGATAATCTCAGTAGTAACACCGTGGCTTCAAGGTTAGTTGGCCAGGCAGGGTTGGACTTGGGGCGCTTCCAGTGCTTTTATTTTAAATCGGGATTGGGGATTATTCCCCCTTACTGAAACTACCTCTACAGTGGACCAAGGAAGTCCTGATCACTTTGTGCTGGGTCTACAGCGTAAGATGATGCTTCTTCCTTCTGCTCTCTCTTGCCTCGTCATCTGATCCAGCACATGTTGCCAGGGTGATCATCATGCAAGGGTGATGCCAATTGCAGACTTAAGTTTTTTTGTTGTTTGTTTGTTTTGGTCATTTTCTAAGGTTGGGGTACAAACTCCCACATTTCAGTATAGCACATGGGGCATTTGCGTTCATGGCTTTGATTCCTTTCTGAGCTCAACACTCTATTCCTCATGCCCATACCTCAGGGTATAGCTGTGACAGCTGCTTCCCGATACCTAACACCAGCAGCCTAACATCTAGTTTCGTGCAGCCAGTCTCACTGTTGTCCCTGATTCTGTCTCTGGTACTAGAACCAAAGCCAAACCAAGAACCCATCTGAAGTATCTTTATTTCTATATTGCAATTTTGACAGCAAACTAGCCTGAGTTTATTTTCATGAAGATGGCAGGGTCTGCTAGCATCCTACTGGCCACAGGCCCAAGCCCAATGTCGCTGGGCGTGGAAGTCTGTCTCTCCCTGGTCCCGACAGGAATCCCAATGGTCAGGAGCAAAGTGGGCGGCAGCCCATTTCCTATGGTCATTGGTATAACCTAGTCTCCCACAGGCCTTTAAGTCCATAGTTTTCAAATAGCAACTGTTTCATTTACCTGTCACAAAGGAAGTACAAGGTGGATGAATAACTGGCAGGTGTAGGTTTTGATTCATGCAAATTAGTTTTTGTTATATCAACTACCACTTATTTTATAAGGATGTTTTTATTTTTATTTGAATGGCAGAGTTACAGAGAGAGAGAGAGAGAGAGAGATGGAGAGACAAAGACAATCTTTCCTGCACTATTTTAGTCATCAGTTGGCCAACAATGACCAGAGCTAGGCAGATCCAAAGCCAGGAGCTAAGAGAGCTGCTTTCTCCTCACCCACCTGGGTGTAGGGGCCCAAGAACTTGGGTCATCTGTTTTCCCAGGCTGTTAGCAGGGAGCTAGATTGGAAGTGGAACAGCTTCCGCTCCAACCAGACCCCATATGGATGTCTGCAGTGCAGATGGAAGCTTAACTTGCCATTCCATTGCACTAGAACCCTCTTTCCTCCACCTCCATTCCTCTTAAAAAAATACCTGGTGAGGTACAGGTCCTGCATACCTTCTAAGTGGAGCTAAATAGCAGAACTGCTTTATTGCAGGAGTATCAGTGTGATGTGTCGCCCAGCATGGTTCAACGCTAAAAAAAGTAAAAACAATAGGGCCCCACGCCTTGGCCTAACGGCTAAAGTCCTGGTCTTGAATGTGCCTGGATCCCATATGGGGACCAGTTCTAATTCCGTCGGCCCCACTTCCCATCCAGCTCCGTGCTTTTGGCCTGGAAAAGCAGTCAAGGATGGCCCAAAGCCTTAGAACCCTGCACCCGTGTGGGAGACCCAGAAGAGGCTCCAGGCTCTTGGCTTCGGATTGGCTCAGCTCTGGCTGTTGCAGTCACTTGGAGAGTGAATCATTGGACAAAAGATCTTCCTCTGTGTCTCTCCTCCTCTCTGTATATCTGATTTTGCAATAAAAATAAATAAATCTTTTTTTAAAAAAAAAGTAAAAACAATAATTTTTTCAAAAGACGGATCTCTGTTTCTTTATCTGCAGGTGATGTCTGTGACCCCAATCCTTGTGAAAATGGGGGCATTTGCTTGTCGGACTTGGCTGGCGATTCTTTTTCCTGCGAGTGTCCCGAGGGCTTCACAGACCCCAACTGCTCCAGTGTTGTGGAGGTTGGTAAGTGCAGCCTTAAGCATTTCCCCACTGGGGCTTAGGGGCTGCTGGTGGTGGAGTACCTGGGAGAGTTCCTGGGGGTGTTCCTGGGGGGATGGGACGTGCAGCCTTGCTACTCGGTTCTCTCCTCTGTGACTCTCTCCAGCTTCTACTTGAGTGATGCTTCTCAGTGATTGGTATTTTATTGCAAAGCACTGCAAATGTAGTTAAAATGCAACGGCATAAACACACTACAGATAGTGGTTGAAAATGAGATCCCTTATATATTGAGTATCAGTGTGCATTTAGAATTTTATTCTCAACTAAAGTTAAATTATCAATGTCACCAAAATAGTGTGACATGGATAGCTGTGATTCTTCAGCATTTTGCAGATATCTAATCATTATTTTCCTAGGACTATAAGTACATATTTCTGAAAATATAAGAAAGACAGCATTTCAACTGCAATGGACTTTAAAAGTCTTTGCAAAAGTTTTGCTTCGCAGAAGTTGATTTGATCCATTGATGATATTTCCTCACATGTTTGTAAAGAATCTCATTGGAGTGTAAAGTTAAGGATTTCCATAACTTCCTAATTTCCAAATAGTTCCCTGTCCAGGACACATCTTTGCTTTTCAAACAATTTAAGATTCTATAAATTCAGACAGACATTTTCTTTCATGGTTAAATGAGGTACCAAAATTAAGTGTGAAGAAAAATAACTTAAAAAAAAACTTTTGCTACCAAGAAGAGTAAGAAGATATTTAGTAGAATAAGACTAAACATTTGTTGGATGAAAGCTACTCCGATCCCCATAATCCTTAGAAAATCTGAGAACTGCAGTGGTTATGAAAACAGCTTTGAGGAATAGTGTTAGCAGTATCTGCAGGACGGGGTGGGGCTCGGCTCCTCTCGCTGTGTGCAGTGCACCTGCCCCAGTGCCTGCTGTGTGGGGAAAGACAGAAGAGCTCCCAGCTTAGTGAGCAAAAGCGTGATGAACACAGCATCACTACCTGGCCGTCCTTGGCCTCCAGCTGTTGAATCTCCTGTGTTTTATATGTTTTTCTTATTTCTTATTGCATTAACATGGAACACTTACCTGAAAAAGTTAATTACATGATTGCTGAAAGGTATTTTGTTCACTTAATTCATTTCAGACATCATTCACTTTTAAAGCTTTTATTAACATACTGATATCTTAGGGTGGCTGACACAGTGCTGTGGAAATAAAACACTCAGTCTTTTTGACCTAGTCCTCAAATGTATACGGTGGAGTTGGAGATTTGAATGGAAGAGCGTTGTCCTCAGGAAAGTCTGTAACTTGGAGAAGAATTAGTCATAAATCTCCCTAGGCAGAACGTATGGATAGAATAAAATTTCACTGTTGTATTTAATCCCACCAACTCCAAACACTGCCTTAAATTTGTCATATACAAAGCTATGCCTATTTGTTGGAAGACCCAGATCTAGATTCAAAGTGATGGATTATTTAAACAATTACGAACACAGAATGTTCATAAAATTTTAAAGCAGATACTTAAATTCTTTGGGCTGTGTTTTTAGGCATTGGTTCAGCTTTCCTTAGGTTTGCCAAAGTAGTCACATTGTGAACAGTGGTTCTTTAAAAAATGAAGTGGTTTGCCATATTCTGCTTGTCCCATGGTACCTCAGGTGATCAGGTGCTTAGAGAATTGAATTTTGCCCAGATTGTTACATATTGCTGGCACATCCTGTCTGTTTAGAGCTTGGGTTGATATGCTGTGTCATAACCCTTGCTGATATGTCTCTGCCCACTTCCCTCTCCTGTGAGGTTCATGTAAGAGTTCTTGGAAACATTATTGGTTTGCATTTGCTGTATCATTTTAGAATAGTGTGTGAGTTAGGCCAGCTCTGACTTCATGCCCTGGAATTGTAATGTTAACGTAATAGAAACAAAATGTCCTAAAAGGTTAAACTATCCTTAGCTTCTTAAATGTTACCTTGCTAAGGTGTGTAGTAATTTTTTATGGTCAGAAAATAAAGGGTAATTGAAAACAGGCTTTAGGTTAGTTTTTTTTTTTTTAAGGAAACGTTACCTGCCTGTGAAATCCCTTTTTCCGTTTGATATGTCTTGCATGTTATGAGTAAATACTGAGTATTTACTGACCAACAATACTTAGCAGCAATAGCGTAACATCTAGTCTACTCAGCTGCTTTCTTAGACTCATTATGAGGGAGCTGGATGGAAAGTGGAGAAGCTTGCACTCAAACTGGCTCGTACTGGATGACTGGCATTAGAGTCAGTGGCTTCACTCACTGCACAGTAATACCAGCCTATCAATGTTCTTTTTAAAAATGGAATCTCAGTTGTCATTCTTTCTTACATAAAGAAATAGGGATGGTGTTTCCAGCAGTTGCGAGAGGTTTGCTGGGTTCAAGTCCCAGCTCCGGCTCCTAAGCTATACTCTGAGAGTGGCTGTCGCATGAGTAATTGGGTTTCTTCTGTCCACATGCAAGACCTAGCTTGGGTTCCAGGCTTCCAGCTTCCTGTTTCGATCCCAGCTATGGCATGCATTGTGGAATGAGCCAGTGTGCGGGCTCTCTGTGCCTATTGGTCTGTCTGTCTGCCTCTCTCTCAAAAGAGGAATAGATTCTGTTGGCCCTTGGACAGAGAGAGAAAGGTTTTGAAAGATTGAGAAGTTTAGGAGAATCTGGAACTAGGATAAGCATAAATATGATGAGATGAAAACTGGGGGTGCGTGGGGATGGGGAGGGAGGACAGTATTTGGAAAAGGAATTTGGGCTAAGGGACATTTTTTTTTCCTTGAAAATGGAAGCAGTCATGTCATTATGATTCAGGAATAATACATAAAAGCATAGCGAGTCAATGACTCATATAGAAATTTTAAAAATATTTAGTATATATTTAGTCCCTGTCTGAAAACAGAGAACATAAACATTGGCATTTGATAATAAAATAATATCCATCATCACTTTTGGGGAAAGAATTAAGTGTGTCTGTGTTACTGAGAAGTAGTTCATGCCAGGTTAATAACATGAATCCCACATTTTATTTCTTATGCTATTTCTGCATTCGGTGCATGGTTGCTTTGGTTGCTGTTGAGGCTTCTCATTTACAAATAAAAAAAATAAGTAAACAAATTCACACGAAAATACTCTAGCATGTGTGGCGGTCTCCTGTCCTCTCTAGCTACCGTATCCCTTGCAAATCTGTTTCCCTTTAGTGATGGTCATTCCGGTTCTAACAAGCCCTCTGCTTCTGCGGTTTTGTGACCCTCTAGTCTCTCGTCACTGCTAATCTTTTTTCATTATGGAGAATTGGTTGTTTGCCCTAGAAAAACAAAAACTGTTGCAGGCAAATGGGCTGGGGTGGTGGTGGCAGGAAACAAATGGGAAGATGCCTCACAGATGGACTGTGCTTTTCATCCCGTGGGGAGCATCTGGGTGTCGCTCTTCCAGAAGGCTCAGCGTGCGGAGCAGTGCGGCAGGGTTACTTGGAAAGACTTGTTAGTAATCATGAAATGTCAGCATGCCAACAAGCCATGAGTAGAGCTGTGGGGTGGCATGAAGCTGTTTGTAGATTTAGAACTTTGGTTGCTAAATGAGGGATTTGGTACACTTCAGCTAAATTTTTCACAAAGCAGATGAAATTATGGGTATTTGTCAGGTTCCCCCCTCCCCATTAAGAATAGTTCATGGTCTAAGAAAAGATAAAAGTTGTAATTGAATCCATCATTCTAGACATTATCATAATGGGAACTTTTTTTTGCAGGATTAGTCCCTCAGAATCTGATAGCCACAAACATTCATTGAGAAATTTCTGAGCCGACTAGGGCCAGAGGGGTTTATCTTCACAGTTCTATTTGCTTACTTACTTTTTAAAGATAAGAAGGATGAAATAAGTGTGCATACAAACAGAATTGCACAATTACGATGACAGCCGTATATCGGAAGGAAAATGTTTGTGTTTCTTTTGTGCATGTGCCAGAAAAGCAATTTTGTGCTATATTTACAAATAGCTATAATACAGTTTATAAACTCATCAGCTTATTGATTTAAAGATGTTTCTAGTTTATGATGAAATACAGTGTTGAGAATTTGTTCTTTTCCAGTTTCAAGCTCTAACAATCGTATATTCACTGGCATAAACATAAAAGCAGAACATCAGAAACATCTTAGGAATTGCAGAGTACAGACAACTGCTGTTGTTCAGACAAAGGAATCGAGCTGGCATGTGGTGCAGCTTCTGTCTGTTAGGGAAGACAATGTAAGTCAGCACTGTAAAGCAAATTGAGCTACATCACGTAGGAAGTTGCAGCTTATTTTCATTTTTTTTTAAATTTAAAAGGCAAAAAAAAAAATGGAGGGAAAGAGAGAGATCTTCCATCAGCTGGTTCACGCCCCAAATGCCTGCTATGTCTAGGGTGAGCCAAGCTGAAAATTCCCTCTCTGCCTCCCACATGTGAGGCAGACACCCAAGGACCCGAGCCTTCATCTGCCCCGGGGATGTGTATTCCCAGGAAGCTGGATCAGAGGCAGCGTAGCCAGCACTGGAACCACTCACACTGATGCCTGCAGGCATCCCTACCAGGGGTTTAACCACACACCAAACACTGGCTGGATCAGAGGCAGTGTGGCCAGCACTGGAACCACTCATTCTGATATGGGATATCCATCCTCTTTGTTGCATCTGACTTCATTTATTTTCAGAAAGAATCTATTTCTTCATCACAGTCAAGCATAGTTGCTGGTTATTTCCATTTGGGTCAATTGCAACAGAAAGCTATGGTGTCCCAGTTCCTCCACTTCCCTCTCAGCAAAGTGTTTGTGGCTTGGGAAAGTGGTAGAGAATGACCCAAAGCCTCGGGCCCCTGCCTGCATGTGGGAGACTTGAAAAAAGCTCCTGGCTCCCAGCTCCTGGCTTTGGATCACCTCAGCTCTGGCTGTTGCAGCCACTTTAGGGTTGAACCACTGGATAAAAGATCTTCTTCTGTCTCTGTAAATCTGTCTTTCTGATCAAAAT